CTACAGCGTTTATTTGTGATGAGTTTTCCTGATATATTAAAACCACAATACTCATCAGCTGACTATATTCTGTGCTTAGGTACAGTTTTTCCAAATTTAGAGACTAACATATAGGAATTAATATAGAAATAAGTATAAACAAACACCAAACAAAATGAGAACTCAATCAGGAGATACTTCTGACAAAGCTTTCTGACCTTGGCCGTGACAATTCAACCGCTAAAACTCACTGAGACACTTCTCCTGGGTTTGCACCACTGTGTGGCAACCTCCAGCCATTGATGCAAAAGCAAAGATTACTGCACTTGAACACCAACAAAAGGAACACTCTTCTTGTTCAAAACCTAATTGTTCGGGAGTTTATGCATGTCGTTTCAGACCGTCGCATTGTCGGCACCTGTGAAACGCGCTACAGCACCGCGTCTCAATGGAGACTCCTGCCTACGGGAGCACTGTGGGAGCACTGCGGAAGGGGCAAGAGGCAGCAGAGGAAACCAGAGAGGAAAGGGACCTTACTGCTACCATTTGGCTTTTTCACACCGACATCAGTTTCACTGCTGCAGACCCTTTTGCCCTTGGAAAATTAAGTTGGATACAAAATTACCTGCTTAGCACAGGGAAACCTAGATGTAAGGATCTGAAGTTCTACTCAGCTGCCTGGGAGAAAAGATGCAAGGGAAACAGTAGAAATGACAGGAGATGTACTAAGAAACCATGGAGAAAAATGGGAGACAAAAAGAGAACAAAAAACATATATACAACTGGGGGGAGGTGAGAAGGGCACAGAGACAGAGGAGACCACTGTTGATACTTCCCTTTAAAGTCATTCTTCTTGGGCTGGGGCAGGGCAAATGTGTGAGGCTCTGGGTTCCAACTTCAGCACCATCCTCTCATTCTCTCTCTCTCTCTTTCTCTCAGACATGCACACACACACACACACACACACACACACACACACACACACGCATGCACAACATCCTAATCTTTACTTAAAATGTCAGCAAGGCCACTACAAAAACAAAAACGCTGAGAATAGCGTGCTGTCCTAAAACTACCCATTTTCTTCCACAAAAACTAATTACATGATCACATACCATGTTAAGTGAACCAAATGAAACTCGCTACACTTTGCCAATTTTGAACTGCCGAGAGCAATTTCGTGCAGCTCAACTGAAGGACCTACCATCACTAAAAAGAATGAAGTAAATATACAGAAGACCATTATAGAATAGTCCCATTCAAAGTTTTTAGAAATAGGTATCTATTTATATGCACAGTATACATACTTATATACAATATACTTATATGTATGAACATCTATGAATATAAAAAGATAGTGATATTTTCCATGTATTTACTTTTAGAGAGAATGTCTCACTATGCCACCCAAGCCCTGATCTTCATGTCTCAGTTTCCCCAGTATTGGGGTGACAGGTGCATGCCATGACATTTAAAGAAATGTAAACATGCATTACTGTATTTGTCTATATGATATATAGCTATATGTCCTTGCATGTATGTTGTACATATAGAAAACACAACTCTTATAAGTGCACTTTCTGGAAGCTCCCCGAGGAAATGCCTCTGAGAGGGAAATGAGAGGCCAATGACCAGATGGGCTGATTTTCATGGCAATGATCCATCACTGCCGCATAGTTTCCCATCGCCATAGAGTCTCTTGTGCCAGTTAGCATGTCTGACTAGATGCACGTATGTTGTTGTTTTGAGACAGGGTCTTACAGTGTAGGCCAAGCTATTGTCAAATTTACCATCCTCCTGCCTCAGCCTCCTAAGAACTGTAGTTAGCATACCGGTATCATTGCCAGTCCGTATGGCTTTTTGAATTAAGAAAATTGTCTAAGTAACTTTTCAAATGTCTCGAGTAACTTAATGTCCATTTTAACAAGCAAATCATTTAAAATGTTAAACAGTATTTAGAACAAGGACACTTCAAATAAGGTTAATTATTTAAACTTCAGCCTTTTTTGTTTGTTAGATTTTGAGACAGGGTCGGCCTGGAACTCCCTGTGTAAATGAGGACAACCTTGAACTCCTGGTCCCCTGCCTCCGTCTCCTGAGAGCTAGAATTACAGACGGACGTGTACCAACACACCTTGTTTCTAGGCAGTGCTGGGAATCGAACCCGGGGCTTTATGCATGATGGTAGCACTCTACCAATGAGCGACTTCCCCAGCCCAAAGTGCTCTTCTTCACTCTAAACTGCCTGCTAAACAGTTTCATGGTCCTGAGGATCCCAGTCAGAACAGAAGTTACTGTTAGCTGTGTTTCAATGGTAATAGTCACATTACATGTACTCAATACTATGCAGTCATCCATGGAATGGTATCTGTGTGGATGTGTACACATGTGAGGAGGTCCAGGTCCAATGTCCTCTTTAATCACTTTGCTCTTTGAGACTGGGGTGCTCGCTGAACCTCAAACTTGATTGGCTGGGCCAGCCTTTCTAACATGTGACTTTTTTCATGGTGCAGTGATCTAAATGAGAATGTCCCCATAGTCTGCAGGATTTAAAGGTGGCTTTGTTTCAGGTTTGGGAGGTCTGGCCTTTCTGGAGGAAGAACGTCACTGGGGACGGGGGTTGAGAGTTTAAAGCTCCACACCACTGCCGATTCACTCTCTCTGCTTTATGCTTTCAGTTTAGCATGTAACTGGTTCCTGTCCCTTGCCGCCGTGCCTCCCCACCATGAGGTCTTACACCTCACAACTAAAAGCCCAAACAAACCTCTCTCTATAAGCTGTCTCGGTCACCATATTTCATCACAGCAACAGAAAAATAACAAAGACACGTGGGCACCAGGGATTCAGCAAGCACTTCACACACTGAGCCATCTCCCCAGCCCTAAAATATCTTCAGTTTCTATGGACAACATACTCAGCTATAGGCCCCGCCTACCTACACATACATACTCAATCAGGAGCTATTTACACATCTGTATGTACACATGTATGTGTGTATAAGGGTGAGGATGCAGAACTAAAGGTACTATTGGTACTCCTACGCCATCGTACTTAGTGGGTTTTGATGCAACTTCTAGAGGCATGAGCAAGAACTGTCAGTGCTGTCTCCAAAACTACTAAGCATTGAGCTAGATCTGGGCCTGAACCTCTCCTCCAGCCTCTCCCGTCTTACACCCCTGTGGAGAAGATGAGGAAATATCTACATTTTTCTGCTGCTTCCCTTCTTATCCAGATAATACCCACTGTTATTATTAAGTCCCCCACTAACCTCATCATCTTCCCTCAGAAGCAGTGTATGTTCTAAGAACCACAGAGATGAGGCTTATAGCACATGGGCCAGTCTGGATTGCAGGAGATGGGGGAGAGGCTGAGGCCCACTAGTCTTGTCAGCTTAATGCTCTAGCCTCAGATGTTTGTATTTGGAAATGTTTTATATGAATATTAACATATGAGTAAATATAAAATGCAGATTTTTCTGATGCATAGTTATTAACTTTATTATGAATGAATTTATCAGAGGCAGTATTCCAAAGCTTGATAATTAGCCATAATTGTGGCAGAAAAAAATATGCTTTTTACATATATTTTAGTCTTCATAAAAATGTTTTATCCCAAAATTAAACAATGCAATCTTAGCTATGACTTCAAGTTCATTAAACCCACAAATTTTAGTAGTACTTCCCAACAAGTTTGTTGTTCAACTTTACTTACTCAGTTCAGTTTATAACCATTCCTAAATTTTCTTTTCAATGGCATAAACTTGATATTAATATGCATGAAATTTTGGTCATTTCATATAAGTGTATGATGTGCCATTTTTCTCATTAACCCAATTCTATGGATTTTTTTAGATTAAGATTTCAAATGTTAAAAATCATTGTTAGTAAAGTCTCTATATTGGTTGGCTTTAAACTTTGAAAAATACTCTAAATCCCAAAACACTACAAGAGCTATAAAACTCCAAAATCATCTCTATTAAAAGCAATTCCAAGATGTGCGAGTAAACATCGAGCGGAAACAACCCTTGACTCCTTAGTAAAACTGCATCTTTAGAGCCACTGTCCTGTGTACATCTCCTCCATGTCGGAAGTCAACTGAGACTAAAACACGAAGCCACAGGCATACAGTAAAACCATTTCCACATACAAGCCTTAGGAAGCTGATTTCCGTGAAAATAACTGTTGAATAAATTAACTTTTGCAAATTTATTACTGAAGGGGAACATTCAATGATTTAATCGGTTCCCTACTCAAATTTCTCCTCTAAGTTCCTCACTGACAACAGCCTAGGTGTGAAGACTTTGAAACGAAGTTAAACTTCAGAATATATAAATCTGTTAATACCCAGCAGCCCCTGCCTTGGCAGCCCCTGCCTTGTGTGTGTTTATCATCAAATGAAACCTCAACTTTGAAATGGTCAAACAACTCCACAAAAGCACCACACACACCATCCTGCACATAACCTGAAGAGATAACTTGTGAAGAACCACCGTGGATATGCAATCTGAGTTCTGTGCTTGGTGGGAACCTGGGACATAGAAGCCTAGCCAGCCTGTAGGCACGACACACCAGAGAAACTGACCAACTAGCCAGAGAAGCTGACTAACTAGGGTCATCTGCAATCCCCCTCTCAAGTTGTGCCCAGAGAGGAGCAAGCAGCCTGCTGTGGATAGGAACGCAACGAAGCGAGCACAATACAGGCTCCACAGGACTTCCAGCGCTAGCAACGCGGAGTGTAAAATCCAAACTCCCTAAGTGAGAACTTGCAGCGGGGCTTCAACTTTCTCCCGTGCCGCCGCCAAGCCACTTGCTCTGACTGCTAGACGAGCTTTCTGGAACACACCCTGGAAGTCTCCAAACCCCAGGCAGGAATCCCGGGCGCCGGTCCCGCCCCAAACAAGGCTCCGCCTCATCCAGGCCGCGCCCCCGTGTCCCTCCTCCGGATCCTGGATCCCGGGATCTCCCCGGTGCTCCTGCTCCCTGCACCCACAGCTCTCCTGCAGGCCCTCAGCTCAGCCTTACCTTGGTCCGTAGCTGTCCAGAGGTGGATACTTTGCGGATCAGCTTCTGGGGTCCCTCCTGCTCTGCTTCACTGTCGGAAGAATCCTCTCCCGGTCCCGCAGCTGTGGGGGAAACGGTGCCGGCCCCAGCAGCCGCTCCTCCCGCGACTCCCGGAGGGTGGTGCTGGCTGCCCGCTCCGGCCATCCTCTCCGGTTCCTGCGGGGTACACAACAGTGCCCCGAGGGGCTGTGGTCAACTGCTGGGCTCTTCCCGAGAATCCAAGCCCCGCGCCTAGCTGGCGCCGTCTTCCTGGCCGCAGGGCTCCGGGGACCAGGGACCACACACCGCCCCTGCGGAGACCGCGAGTTCCTCTGGGCGAGGCTCACGCCTGCGCACCCAGACTTAGGATGTTCTGGGGTTGCTGACCCACGATGCCACCAGCACCGGAATGAGAGAATGGAGGTCGCAATGAGGCTTGGGCAACCTTCCTCTTACTCCTTCTAGGGTCTCAGGGCCTAGAGGGAAAATGGGGCAGAAGTGGGCAGGAGCGCACCAGCAGGCCAGGCGCGGTGGCGATGCTCTTCCCTTCGTTCTAGACGGCAGGAGTGTGGGGAAGGCTCCGAAGGAAAAAGGGAACATGAAGCCTCCTCCTACGCCCATAGGTGCACCCCTGGACCCCGAATCTCAACACACTTGGGCCTTGTGGCATCGTTCCAGCTAAGTAAAAGTTCCCTCTGTCCGGGATAAGGACTGTATCTCCGGACCCTGGGCACCACTACAAGGATCTTACCTCTCCTGCTTCTGCCAGGGAGTTTGGATCCTTTCGGTCTCCTCTACCCTGTTTAGCTTTGGACCCACCCCCATCCTGCGCACACGGAAGAGAAGAGCATTTTCCGGGAGGTTCAGCTCCGCTCTGGGAACTTTTCGTTCAGAAAGAGCGATTCCCTTTGGCTAACAGGAAGCTGGGAAGGGCGTGGAGAGGGCGCAGAAACAAGAGAGGACACGCAGCCCAACACGACACTATACTGAAATAAATGTCTAAGCTAAAGCGCTTATCCAGAATGCCTGGAAGAATGCATTCAACCATGTTAACAATGTACTATGAAAAAGTACATATATACATACTATATATATATATATATAGATAGATAGATAGATATATCTATCTATATATATATATATATATAGAGAGAGAGAGAGAGAGAGAGAGAGAGAGAGAGAGAATCCTAGGAGAGGGGGATCCACAGGCTGTAGCTTCAGCTCTGGAAGTGTCCCTAGCTAGCTGCTTAAGGGCGTTAAGGGTGGGAGCAGGGCAGAGCAACCTCCCTGCACAAAATGCACACTCAACCTCCAAAGCTGGTAGCAGGGAGGCTGTGGGGGAAGACACTAAAATGACAAGTTTCCTGCTGTCAATCAAAGAGAACTGCACACTGCTGTCAGCTGTGGTTTGTTGGTTTTTTTTTTTTTCAGTTTAAGTAAGAAGCCCCGGGGGCTTTTCCTTACAGAGCAAACTTCACAGCCCCTGCCCTCCAGATTCCTTTCCAATTTATCAGTTGACAATGACCTTGACAATTCCTTGAAACTAAGACTCTGGGGTGTTGTTTTCCTCTAGGTGCAACCTTAAGCCCAACAATTATTCCACTCTGTGTCAGAGCTGCGAGCTCTAAGACATTTTAACCACACTAAAAAACGGGAAATGCGAACTCTTCAGCAAAGAGTGTGCTGCCTCTAAGACACTTTAACTACACTAAAAATGGGAAATGCGAATCCTTCAGCAAAGAGTTGCTGCCCTGTTACATGAATACAAAGACAACCTCTCACGCTTCAGTTATTTCCTTTAGGAAAGGAAGGAGTGGGGAAGGAATGGACTTTAAGAGTTCTTATGGCCTGATAATATGAAATTCTGTATCTACACGAACACACTGCCGGGAAATCTTTAAGAGACAATAACAGTAAACAATGGCCTAGGTTGGGAATATAAATCAGTGCTAGAATTCTTGCCTAGTGTACAGAGGCCCATCAGAGCCAAAAACAAAATAATGCCCTTTTAATAACCTTTATCCTGGTCGGGCTATTTGATCACAGACAAGTCTAGTGATTTGGCAACACAAAGATCCCTTGTGAAGGGGTCTTTACATAGTTGAGACTTTCCTTTTAAGGTAAAAGACATTGAGGTCACAAGCTGGGACCAAAGGGGGGGAAAAAACGTGTGATTGCAATTCTAACGTTCTCTTCTCCACACTATATATAGCTAAAGGTCAATTTGGTCGTTATCACGTACTTCAATCTACACATTAAGCTTTCAAGTTTTATATAGCAACATTTTCCAGAATCTTGACAAGGGTGACTGAACTGAATAGTGGTCCAAGACCCCTGCCTATTCTGTGATCCTTGGAAGAAGGTGGATTACAGTCCTCACTCTGAAAGGATGCTGGTTGCTTAAAGCGAGTTTAAAACAGCTTCACCTCCAGGAGCTAGGCAATTAATTCCTCAAAGTGCAAGTACTGGTGACTTATAAAAACTTAGCCCTCTAGCCAGCTCTGCTCTACACAGAGTTCAGCAAGTTTCGAACGCTTGTAACTATGAAAGCAAAGACAGTCTTCGCGTACTTCAGCTAAGCAAGTGACTGCGGCTCTCTACAGCATCTGCAGTCGTAGAGGAAACCCCGGATGAAAACACTGTGTAGGCAAAGGAAGGAATGCTGCCTCATTTCCCACAAGAGGCAGCCCAGGAAAACCCCGGCTAGAGAACCATCTCTTCCAGACACTTCTAAGGAATTCCCAATTTAAATAATATCTGACCTACTAGTGGCTTACTGGGTTCTAGAGGTAAATGTCCAGAGAGGGTATCTAGTCTAACTGAAATGCATTTCACCTTTTGTTTGTTTGCTTGTGTCTTGAGATAGCCTCACAGCACACCTCAGACTGGCCTGGAGCTCAGACGTAGCCCAATCTGACTTGGAATTCATGGCAGTTCTCCAGCATCAGCCTCTCTCTATATCTCAAAATGGCTACTGATATTTCAATTGTATGGCATATTGCCTTATTTGATTTATAAAACGTCCCCTGACTTTTTCTTTAGTGTTTCAGATAATTTCTTATGTATTTATTACTGGTACTTTGAGATCTTTTCCAGGGAGTGGTGGTACACACACCTTTAATCCCAGCACTCAAGGTGGAGGCAGGGGGATCTCTGGTCTTCAGAGCGAGTCTCAGGGCAGCTAGGGCTATACAGTGAAACACTGTGACGGGGGCGGGGGGAGGTGTTCATGTGGAACATATCAGCAAAACTGTTTAAAACTTGCATAGAAGAGGTTGAGGCAGGTGAGCTGCCAAGAGCTTGAAGCCAGCCTGGGTTACAGAGTGGGTAACAGGTCACGTCACCCCCACCCTGCCAGCAACACAGCAAGACCTTGTCTCCAAACAACATCAACAAAAATCCTATAGCTGTTACAGTCAGGGTTCAATGGAAATGAGAGACGCTGACCACTAATTGGCTTTCTACTTCATAACGTATCATACATACTCGATTAGAAAAAACAAAAAGTACCGAGGAGATATAAGTCAAAGGCAGACATGCTTATTAAAACCTTATGACGCCGGGCAGTGATGGTGCATGCCTTTAATCCCAGCACTGAGGAGGCAGAGGCGGGCGGATCTCTGTAAACTCAGGCCCAGCTCGGTCTACAGAGGGAGTTCTAGGACAGGCTCCAAAGCTCCAGAGAAACCCTGTCTCGAACCCCACCCCACCCCCCTAAAAAAACCTTTCCGAACACTGTATTCCACTATTATCTACAGAGGCATTTTAAATTAATCTACTAACAATGATCTGGACTGACAGTAACTTAAAGTGTTTAATCCCATGTTCTATGGTTTTACATTCAAATTTTCATATAACCTGATGAGGGCTACACGCCAAACGTTGAGAAACACAAGCAGGGACTTTAGAAACCATATTCTAGAATTCATGTTCCTGTTCAGTACAGAAACAAAAGACTCTGCAGACTGAACAAGCCAGGCCTGGGAGGCTGCCGTGACTGCAGTGTGGAACTATTTCCACAACACACGATTTGTTATGTATTCAGAACTTAACATTTAAAAGGTTTACCCTGTTGAAATTGCCTTAGTTGTTATCCAGATAACAAAACGTTCCAAGAGCAACGGTGCTATAAATTATAGGAACATACTGTGATCTCTGCACACAGGGCAGAGCTTCTCCTCATCCTCACATAAAGTACAACTGTGTGACCAGCCTCTTGTTTGTATCTTGGCCACTTTTGCTTTGAAACCCTTCCCTTTCTTCGTGCCCATTAATTCTGGATTGTTAACTGATATAACATTAACTCGTAATACTAACCGGTACAAAACCATTATGAAATAAAAGCCCACTTTGGGGACTAAAGTCCATTCAGGCTTCCCTCCACTAGAAAGGGCATGCTGTAAATCCTCCTGCATTTTTAAACGGAGCCGGTGGGCTACCCACTCCCACCTGAGATCAGGAACTGCGTCGCTAGATGTCTTCCTACCCACTCATTCCAACAGCAAAATACTTTGGCTCTGTTTCTTTATTTTAGTGAGACCAAGCCAGGGCATTGCACAGGCACAAGTTCTACCACTAACCTACATTGCTCCCCCAATTACTTTCTCTAATTGGTTTTTTGATAAAGAATCTCACTATTTTGTCCCTGCTGGTCCCAAACTCTGAGCCTTCTTTAGCTGATTTGCTGGGATACAGGTGTGTAGAACCACACCCAATTCCCCAAACACTTATTGATTTGAAATTTTAGTGATGCCTATGTTGTCACTAACACTTGGCTATATTCCAAAGCTAGCATCAATTAAAAGAGAAAAAGAAAAAGAAACTTAAATGTTAACCTGTACCTTCCTTAAGTCCAATACTTACCCAGAATAATGCTAAGTAAAGCTGATATATCCAAATGTTCTGATAGCTAAATAACTTAATTTCACAGAGAAAATGCCATGAAGTCCCAGGAATTCCCTTAGCTCCAGGTGTTGGTATTCTTTAGCTAAGAAGTACTATTTCTTTTCAGGTAGGCACAGTAATCTCCAAGGAATCCTTGCTTTTCTGTCTGAATAGTAGAAACCATATCATCAAAGTTTAGGCTCCACCAGGAAAAAAAAAACTGAGAAAACAAATTCTTACAAGCATGCTGCTACATGCCATAACAATACAGCAATCCCACCTATTCCACACTTAGGCCTTTTTATGAATGTAAATTTGCAAGCTGGTATGGTAAAGTATTACAGTGCCTGTATTTCAACCTTTAAAAAAAGGTTTTTAAAGAGCTCAGAATTGGAATCCAGGTGAAAACAGGTTTGTTTTCTTTGCTGTTGTCTCATTTTGTTTTAAGAGAGAAAGGGTTTATTTTGGCTCAGAGGATAAACGTATCTTGGTGGGGACTGACTGGCAGCTTGGGCTCCACCTGTGGTAGCCAGAGCATGCACCAGCTGCTCGTTCTGCGGCATCTACAGGAAGCAATGAGGGAAGCAGGTAGCCTCAACGCAAGAGACTCTGAGCACACACAGACTGGACTTCAGGAAACCTGTGATTCCTCTC